AAAATGTCCACTGGTGATATTCTTTCAGTTGCTGCATTGTATACAAGAAGCAAATGCCCACTGTTCACGTCCCCTCTCTAGGATTGTGAGAAACCAATTAGCTGAGGTAAGCGTTCCGTCAAAATTGTAATATTATGAATATGTAACTGGCTCCAGCCTGGGTTTCTGTAGTATATAGCAAAGAGGACCCAATTTTTGAAGCAAAGAAGCTATTCTGGGATTGAATATTTTTAATGAAAAATAAAATCAATGCTTTATGTCTTCATGGTCAATTAACATAAAGACAGAGTTGTACATTTTTAAATCCCTTTTAATCCCTTAAAAGGGATTAAAAGTTTATACAGGTTAACAATTCTGGGTTAGAAGTTGACAGTAACCATGGATTCAGATATTAGGAGCAGTTTGCTAATTACCACTGTTAGCAAGATGTTTTATATCCTGTTAGTTTTTTTCTGGCAGATGAAGAATACAGTCCTACATTAAGAATATTATTGCTGAAACAGATGGATAAATTGCTAATAGTATATGTTAAGTGAAAGCCATTATCATTTTCCAGCATTTCTACAGTGTTTTCCAAGCCAAGAATCAAGAGCCTCATGATAAATGCCCCCTACATGCATCCAGGGATTTGTACTGGATTCAAGAGGGAAATAAAACACAGGAGTATGCTGCAAAATGGGTGTGCAACTTCTGTGGCAAAGCATTCTACTCAGAGCATTACCTTGATAAACACTTTGAGAACAAACATAGTGATAAGCTGGTAAAGGTAAGAACTGTTATTTTTTATTCAATTTGGTGTTTGCTCAATGCCTTCCACTGCTTTGTACTTAAAAGAGGTGGTCAGGCAATTCCATGGTGAAAATTATTCAAGGTTCTTCAAAGATCATTGAGGATCTTCATGAAAATCTTAAGATCAAGATCCTCAAACACCCTTGATTGCCAAGATCTGCAACTGGGCTTCTTTTGATTGTTTATGGGGGTGCCCCTTCAATTTGTACAGTAGCACTAATATTCAAGCAAAAGGGACAATTTATTTAATTTCTCAGCTACAGTACATCATACATGTATTAATGATCTTAACACCAAACACAAGATTCAATTTTAAAATTTCCCATGTGATGTCATTTAGTATTTGACCAACCCATTCAACTGTAATTTTAATTCAATGGTAATGCTGGATACATTTGACCAATTAAATTTTAGATCAAAAGGTCTATTTGAGCTTGTTTGACTAATTTAAGTACCGGTATTTAATTGATTACTTAAAACTTTACAAAATTTATATCTTGTTTTTGTTATTATATATTTTATAGGCTGATTAAGCTATCTCTTTTCTTTCACCTAGGGCTCTACAGTGTGTCTTGCTGATTTCTGTGACATCTTTAGATGTGATGTACTTGATGATAGCCAGAGAAAAGACTTTTTTTGGGAGAAGAAACTTTGCAAGGAAGACAGACTAGTGGTGCGCAAAAAGAGATGTGAGGTAGTTATGCTTCTCTCAATTGAAGTGTAATCATTCCCATCAAAAACATAAGATTACACTGTGTTTACTACCGAGCAGTCTTTTTATTGAGACTTGGGGAGAGCAACAGTCCTTCGGGATATGGACATCAGTGGTGAATCCAGACCTCTTTTTAGGGTGGGGACCCTAAAGGTGTTTCTGGCCCTTCAGACCTTAAATTAAGCTGGGAGCTCCAAACGTTTTCAGCTCTTTAGGCCATGCCTTTGTTTTGGCCAAGAAGGGGAAACCCAGGTTCCCTAGGTACCCCCCCCCCCCTTCTTGTACATGTAGATCCGCCACTGAGGTGGTTATTAGCCTTTTCCATGCTCTCAGTCAATGGAGAAGTACATTTTACTTGCCTTGCACCTCCCACAATCAGTGTCAGAAAACAATAGAGTCTAGTCTAGTCTCTTCTGTATCATGACACAGGAGAATAAACTAGGGCACTGTATTCAACTTTGCTTCTAATGGAAGGAGAACTTCTTCTGTTTTCCAGTTCTCAGAGGTGAGTTTAAGGTGGCTCACTAGAGTATTCACCAAGACTGGCTCCCTATAGAGTGCGAGTTAGAAAAGGAAACTTTGTGAATTTCTCTTAAAGTTTTCCCCATAGAGATTTACCAGTATGAGTACTGTTAAAATGA